CGTCGGCGATTTCCCAGAGATTGGGAAACTGCTTCTGCAAAGCTTCCAAAACAAGCCAGGTCACTGTCTGGAAGACACCGGAGACCAGCAGGGTGTGCATGCTGTCGTGGCAATACTGTGAGACCGGCCGGACCAGCCATCGTTGATCCTCTTGTTGCAGCAGGGAACAACTATTATAAGTCCAGCCGGTGGCTTGCTGCCACGTGCTGAAATCTGCAGCATTCAGAAGCATCTTCTTCTCTGCCAGTTTAGCCATGGCCTCGTGGATGGATTGGTCGGTCGCAAGCGAAAGCTTACTTTCTCGGATCTCAGAGGAACCGACCACGGGGAGCCCGCTGCTGTGCAGGATATCACATCGTTGTGCTATTACATTCCTGCACAGCATGCACATGCGGGTGCCAGCATCCCCCTTGCAGCTCCATAGAGCTTTATGGGCACCACCGTCTTGAACGATCATTGACAAAACCACCCGGAAGAGGACGGGCGGACCTCCTGGTCGCTGCAACGATATGCACCCGTGCTCCAAATGGTTGGCCGGCCGCATGAATATGTCTCGCAGGATTTTCGAGATCCATTGAGAGACACCTGCTTCGGCCTTGGCCATCAGGCTGGATCGGAGCAGTCCTATGCATAGCCACGACTCCTCGTGCTGCAATGCATAGCTTCCAAGTTCTACGAACGAGGCATAGCAAGCCCAGATTTTTCTCTTCGTCTGGACTGCCAAAGGATTACCCGGCACGATCTCGTCCGTATAGAGGATCAGCCGCCATGCCGAGCTGGGGCTCGGAGGATTCTTGTCGATGCACGCCCAAAAATATTGGGCGAAGTTGCTGTCGGCATCCGAGATAGCAGCTTGCAGCAGAGCCCAAAAATCGACACTGGGTATCTGCAGCTCTGCACCATCTGTCTGCAAAAGTGACAGACGATTGAGGATCCTATTCTCTTTCAGGGGTTGCCAGGCAGCCTCGGCTATATGTTTTCTTTGTGTGAGTTCCGGGACACCCTCGTCCCGCAGAACTTTGCAAACTTCGGACAAAGCCGAGGCTGTGAGATGGGGCAATTTCCTTCTCAGAGCATTCACCTTCTGAAGCTTCGCTGGTCTTTCAGCAAAAGCATCGGTGCTGCTGGAGGCCATGGCCCTATATCACCACGGCACCGCACCAACAGCAAATGCCGGAACATCTCCGTGGAGAGTTCCTTCTTCTCCCTGTGCCTGCAGCAGCAAGCAGCCACATACACGCCTCCGTGGAGGCTTCCACACGCCTCCGTGGAGGCTCCCACACGCCTCCGTGGAGGCTTCCACACGCCTCCGTGGAGGCTTCTCGCATCCTTGGATGCTGGGTCTCCATGGCAACAACAAACCAAGCTACAGGACGGGTGACACAACAAATGGCCCCAGGAAGGGGTGCCTGTCTGCGAACACAACTGCACCAAACCTTGTCTGTGCTCGACTCTGGGCATCTGTATGCATGCTGCACGGCTGCTTGGGCCCTGCTTTCCGCTGCTCAGAGAACACATTTCGGCAGGCCCACAAAACCCTCAAAATATGATATGGAAAAAACTATATCATATGAAAACAAAGTCAATCATATGATATAGTAGAAACTATATCATATGAGGCCAAAATATTACATATGATATAGAAAAAACTATATCATATGATATCTGGCCCCACAGACTTAGATGATATAGTAGAAACTATATCATATGGCAAGCGATGCCATCATATGATATAGAATATGCTATATCATATGGTTTCCTTTCAATATATATGATATAGAAAAAACTATATCATATTTTCTACGTTTGAATAAGGTTCCAATCTTAAGGTTAACCGAAAATTATTCTTAAAAAAAAACCCCTAAACCCTAAACCCTAGAGAAAAAGCGCGGAGACACTCTTTTTTTTCACCAGACGGCAGCCGGCACTCTGGTTTTTCGGAAGACGGCAGGCGGCTGCCGAGCTAGTACCGCTGCCGAAGCTCCTGGCAGGCGATTTGGAAAAGGCTCGTCACCACTTTCCCGTAGGAGCTCCCAGACCCTCCTTCCGGATCGTCCGGGTCCTTCTTGTCCGGCATTGGGACGTGATCATCGTCCCGTACCGGCGACTCCTGTCGCTTACGCTTGGCCTTAGCCTTGCTGCCCTTAGCCTTGCTGCCCTTCTTCTTGTCCTGGCCGGTCTTGCCAGCCTTAGCTGGCAAACTCCTGGGCAAAAGCTTCACCGGCTTTCGATCCTCTTTGTCATCCTCGGGCTCAATCAGGGAGATTGTCTCTCCTGCCCCCGGCTTTTTTCTCTTCTTCGTGCCCTTAGCCTGCTCAGGACGGCCCTTCTCAGCTTCGGTATGGGCCTTGGCCCCCGAGGGGCCGGAGCCGCCTCTCACATCACCATAGCCATATCCCTGGCCCTTGTCGCCATATCCCTGGCCCTTGTCGCCATATCCATGGCCCTTGTTGCCGGAATCCCGCCGCAGCTCCCACTTTGGGACTTCGGATTCCTCTTCGCTCTCCTCTTCCCTCCCGGGCTGCCAGTGCTCCTGGAACCGGCGCTTTGCCCGGCCTGCAGCAGCCTCCTTGCTGAGCCCTTGGGCTATGTATTTCCAAGTTCGGTGAAACACCGACAATCGGTGCTGGCGACGGGCGGCCGCATGCTCCTGTATCCACCTCCAGCAAATGGGGCATGCCCTTGGGCCCGTCCGAAGGCTTGTTGTCCTTCTTCTCATCTGCTGCCTTCTCATTTGCCCCCTTCAATTTTTCATCCACCTCCTTGTCCTTTTTCTCTGATCTCTCTCGTTCGCTTTTCTTTTCATCCTTCTCCTTCTCCTTTTTATCCTTCTTTCCCTTTTTTTTCTCCTTCTTTTCCTTTCTGGCCTGCTCTTCTTCTGCCCAGGACTGGAGAGCTGCCTGGGATGCCGCGACCCTGGCTGTTGCAAGCTTTCTCTCCAGCCTCTGCCTGCCGGCGGCACTTATCGGCCAATCAGAAGCGGTCTTCTCATCCAGAGAAGGGACTCTGGGCTTCGAGGCCGCAGCCTCCGAGGCCGCCTCCTTTGGCTTCGAGGCCGTAGCCTCCTCCGGCTCCTCCTCCGGATCCTTTTCTTTGTCCTCGGACTCAGTTGCCCCCTCGGAGGCCACAGTTTCCTCCTCAAAGTTCTCCTCCTCCTCTTTCTTGTTCTCGTTCTCCTCTGGCTTTTTGTTGCCATCCTCCTCCTTTTTCTTTTGGTCCTCGGACTCTTCGTGAGATCTCGACCGTAGTCGAGGATCTCGTCGTTCTTCTCTATCCTCTGAGCTCGAGCTCCTCCTCCTTCTATCCTGGTCCCGGTGCTTGGGCATGGCCGACGACTTCGCCTGGCCAGGACAAAAAAAGGGTTTATAGAGGATCGGGGAGGGTATAGGGTTTAGGGAAGATCCCTTAAGCCAGACTCTTTTTAGCACATGTATATATATATATATATATACATAGTATTTGGTGCATGCCGTGGCATGCACCCACGAGGAAACCGTGGTCTCCTCTCCCAAAGCAAAGCAAACCGTGGTCTGCTTGCTTTGCATGCTTGCCAGCAGATGCAAACAAACCTTGGTCTGCCTGCATTCTGCCGGCCAGCACGGTTGCCGAAAAGCAACCCATGCATGCATCACTGACTAAGCAAACCGTAGTCTGCTAGCCAGCTCTGCAGGAGACCGTGGTCTCCTCTCACAGACAGATGGCAAACCGTGGTCCACCACAATTATAAGGAGACCGTAGTCTCCCGGCTTTGTCCAGGAAACCGCAGTCTCCCGGGCTGCCTATAGTCTATAGTTATATATCTATATCTGTATATATGTTTCGTTTGAAAGAAACTTAAAAGGATCCCTTGCCTGGCCTCGTAAAAAAGGCCAGCCCCCATCCAAGGGCTCCCTACAGGAGCCCAAACAGCTGCAAACACCGGCACAAACTTCACAACCTGCACATGCGAGGCTACAAGTCAAACAACTGCATGCACATGAGACAACAAGGCTTTGCATGGTTTTCCTGAAGCAAACGAACCTTCAGTTCACTAGCACCCCAGGCTTCCTCCGTTTGGAGGACTGCCCCTGGCTTTTTGCTGCCCTTTTGGCAGCCGCAGTCGCCTCAGCCTCCTGCAGCGGCAGGGGATCCAAGGGCCGGGCCTTGGCCCCGGCTTTTTTGACAAGCGAATACCTTCTGTCGTCGCCTGTCCGTTGAGCCTGGCGGCCTTGGCCGATTTTCACGACTTTGTCCTTCGCAGCAGTTCCCTTAGGAAAGCTTTGCCGTGCTCTAGTCTGAAAAGACTCAGCAGTAAGCACGGCATTTTGTGTTGCTTCAAAGAACAATGCCATATCATCCAAGTGGACTTTGGGCACATCCGTGACATGGCCCGCCTCCAGGACACGGATCTCCTTTCCCATCCAGGTAACCTTCAGCACATTCTTTTCTGCTCTTGCTTCCCTGGAAGCACGGCGGGACAAGCGAGTCTTCGCTGCTTTTCTCGGAGAGCTGCCTGTTACAGACACTAGAGCAGCCTCGCTGTCTTCCCCGCCGAAAAGGCCAGAGCTCTGTTCTTTCAGTTTCTCTGCCTGCCGCTTGGACTGCTGCTCCTTGGAGGCATCGTTTCGGGAGCCCACGAGCGATAGATAAACATCGCTCTGGGACAACGATGACTTTGCCGGGTATTTTGGCAGTTTTATGCTATGCTGCTTAGAAAGCAGCTTGCACAAGCCCGGGCTCCATGGACGAAGTACCACAAACGGACCATGGTCCGTTGGTTCTAGCTCCTTGTCACCCACAGTCCAGCTGGCACCATCCAGCTTCAGGACATATACTCTTTCGATTACCAGCGGCATTGTACCTATATTAGCCTTGAGCCGAACTTTATGGAAAGATCAACAACACGTGCCTGCAAACCATCCTTGAATTCACACTTGCAAAAGCGCCAAAAAGTTCCATTGCAGACATCAACCTTGGCTCCTTTTCCCGGAAAACTCAGCAAGCGAGAACTGTCGAGTAACTCAAGAAGCCTTTCGCTTTCGCGAGGCAGCGGATCCTTGATCCAGCTCTTGGGCCGAGGCCCTCAAACTTTCGGCAGGCTTCGGCCTGTACAGGATGCACTCCTTCAGCGAAGCAGTGTTCTTCAAAATGGGAATCTTCCAGCCCTTCTCGTTCAGAAGGACTGTCGCCAGATTCGGCTCTGAGCCGACCGGGATCTGCCAGAAGGCAGATAGCAAACTTCCGGCTGCAGCCGGGGGTGAAATATACAAGCTTGTGCCCGAGGCCGAATGCCAAACCTCCACACTGCCAGCTGCCGGCTTTAAGCCAACCTTTGAAATCTGATCCGTGAAGGGGAAGATCGTCAGCTTGCCTGTCTTGGCTTTGCCCTCCAACAGACAGCACGTGGGATTCTTCAAAAAGGTCAACTCCTCTTCACAGTGCGAGTACTTCAGGAAATACTCGCAGCAGAGCTCGAAGAACTCTCCTCGGAGTCTCTCTTGGCTGCAAGCCTCCGTATTATGGGGCAGTCGGTCCACAGAGTCAGACACCACTTCGGGTGCATCTCCGCTATACAGATCGAAAAATTTCTTGAGCTCGCTCAGAGGCACCTCGACCTTCTTGTCCCAGCTCACTGGGCAAGACAGCGAGAAAGAGCCGTGGCTCTGGCCGATTTTCTCCAGCTTCCAAGGCCAGATGTCCTGATACTTCTGCTTGCCTTTGTACAGGTTCCCCTCTGCGAAGCCTTGCAGCTTCATCAGGAAGGCCGGGTCCTGCATGTTCTCCAAGGTCGCAGGGGCCGCATCAGACGGCCCATCTTTTGTAGCAGCAGCCGGTGTTGCACCGGCACTCTTGCCACCCATCTCGTGTTCGTACAAAGTCAGCAAATTGGCCAATGACCCGTGCTCAAGGCCTTCTTGCCCCGACTTCTCTTTCTTGCACATGAAGAGGGTGCTGCGAACCATCAGGCGACCGAAGCACTCAACTGCCTTGGCACGTGCACTTGCATCCGTCACATTCTGAGTGTGAGCCCAGGCACGAGCAAGAAGCTCCTCCCAATCCTTTACAGCATCTTCCATGCCTTTCGCACAGAGCCTGCTGACATCGCTCTTGCTCAGCAGCCGAGCCACACCGTCTACCACTTTTGTGGCTGTCAGGTTCGTCGCGATCATCGCAGCCCTTGCGAAAGCATGCGATCGCTCCTGCCCTGCAAACCGGAGGCCGGCGACCGTGGACATGAATTCCTCTCCCAATCTTTTGCTTGCCCCATATTTCAAGGAAAAGTCGTGCAAAAACTTCAGCAGAGGTGCTTCGGTTCCTCCTGCATAGAATCTGCAGAACAACCCGCAAGCGGCCACGGTCTGTGGCGAGGCATCCGGCACCGTGGCTGCTACATCAGCTTGCACAACATCCCAGTCGATGCACAAACCTTGCTCTGCCAGCAGCTTTGCTCGGGTCACCATCGCCATGGCGAGCTCCAGCTCGCCTGCCGTTCTTGCAACTCCTTGGGCTGCATTCATGACTTCCTGAACGAAGGAGGCCAGCGAGGGCAGTACTGCATCAACTTCCGCTGACAGCACCAGCCACTCCCATCCATTATCCACGGCCTGCCGAAAGTCCGTAGACAATCGCTGCAACGTGAGCTTGCCGTTGTCCGACACCGTCTCTTGGTCCGAGGGACATGCTGCAATGCAGGCACGGCAAAATGCCGTAAAGTGACTGCATGCTAACGACATGTATCGCTCATCGCCTCGCACCTCAGCTAGCAGCCCTCCAGCCTACAGATTGCACTTGGGCCCCTGTCTTGTGAACTTGGGCTCCATTCAATCCTAACCCTGAGCGATTCGACGGGTGCACCAGGACTTGACCCGGCCGCAGCACCTGCCTGTAGCACTTCCTGCTCTCCTGCAGGATAGTTTCGATCTCCGTCCATCTCTCCAATGCCGGAGCATCTTTCTTCAATGCCTGCTCCACGGCCGTAGCCCAGGCAGGCTTCATCTTTTCCAAGTTCTCTTGAAAAAAACGGCTGCATGGCAACAGGATATGCATTTAATTGTCCGCCCTGCCCCCCCCCTGTATACATGCACCCTTGAAACACAAGTCATTTACGTGCCTAACATAGTCATTTCCCTATATAAGAACTGTACTTCAAAAAGTTATGTTAACTTAGCTAAACTTTAGCTAAACCCCCTAACCTTTGTAAATGTTTAACATACTTACACCACTTATGTAAACACTTAGCTAAGTCTCTTAACAGTTGTATTTGTTTATCACACTTATAAGTGATTTGCAATATAGATACAACCGGGTTGCAAGCTATTTAACAACATGCTTGCAATCTATATAAACACTTACAAAGCCACGGTTCTTCCCAGCGCTGCAGCTGCACCACCAGACGAAGAGGACGCCGCGCCAGTCCCGGTGCTCTCCTCGACGGCGCGTTTGAGCGACGAAAGGGCTTTGGCCTCGGCCGCCTCTTTCTCCTCCTTTGCCACGGGAGGGAGGCGAGCCGCAGCCGCGGCCTCCCGGGCCGGAGCAGCAGACTCCTTTGCGCGCTGAGCCATCCTTTCTCGCTCCCCGCCTTCATCGACTCCGCGAGGCTAGGGATCCGGACCCCCGGACTCCCCGCCTCCTCGGGGGAAGTCGCTTTAGCCGAAGAAGATCTCTCCTCGGGAGCAGCTGCGGGAGCAGACGGAGCCGGATCGGCGGCCTCCGCTGGCGGGCTCGTCGTCGGTTCTGCTCCCCAGCGTGGGTCCGGGGCACCTTCCCTCGGAAGAAGGTCCGTCTCTCTGAGCGGAGGGTCAATTTCCAGCTCGGTGTCCGTCTGCTTGGCCACGGGGTTAAGGACGCCGGCCCTGAGCCTTTCTTCCTTGAGACCTGGCAACGCATCGTAGCCGAGGTCTGCGAACGACTCTCGCATCGCTTGTATGAAGTTCTCATCTACAGCCGTGGGGGGGGGGGTGTGATGGACACTTGCAGGCTATTTGACATGCCCTTGCTTGCAACAGTGTAAGACATTTGCACGAAAGACACGTCAAATAGACGCTGAAATTTTCACCGGCCGAGCGCATCCTGTGCCAAAGTCGGAGCACATGTCCCCGGGACAGGGCACTGACAGCGCTGAGCGCGCGGAGGGCGCTGAGGGCGCTGAGGGCGCTGAGGGCGCGGAGCGCGCTGAGGGCGCTGAGGGCGCTGCGGGCGGTGAGGGCGCGGAGGGATGCTGAGGGCGCGGAGGGCGCGGAGGGTGCGGAGGGCGCTGAGGGCGCTCAGGGCGCTCAGAGCGCTGAGGTGGCGCTGAGGGCGTTGAGGGCGCTGAGGGCGCTGAGGGCGCGGAGGGCGCTGAGGGCGCTGAGATGCGCTGAGGGCGCTGAGGGCGATGAGGGCGCTGACGGCGCGGAGGTGAGGGCGCGGAGGGCGCGGAGGGCGCGGAGGGCGGTGAGGGCGCGGAGGGCGCTGAGGGCGTGGAGGGCGCTGAGCGCGCGCTGAGCGCGCGGAGGGCGCTGAGGGCGCTTATAGGGCGCTGGGGCGCTGAGGGCGCTTATAGAAGCAAGTAAAGGGATCTATAGGGCTTCTAGGTTTAAGGATTTAGATTTTTCGATAAGTTCAAGCCACGACTTCTCGAAATCTCCACATGAAAAGCCGCCGACAAAGCTGCCCAATAGTCCTTATCACATCCGGGTTCGAGCTCTCTTTCAACCCTAAACCCTTAAACCCCTAGAGCCCTAGAACCCCTGAAACCCTCAACCCGAAAAACCTTAAACCCCTAGAGCCCTAGAGCCCCTGAAACCCGCCACCATAAACCCTTAAACCCCTAGAGCCCTAGAACCCCTGCAACCTTGAACCATAAACCCTTAAACCCCTAAGCCCTAAAACTCCTGAAACCCTCAACCCGAAACCTTTAGACCCCTTAGAGCCCTAGTCCCCTGAAACCCTCAACCCTAAACCCTTAAACCCCTAGAACCCCTGAAACCCTAAACCCAAACACAAACCGGCGGCCTCGCGAATACAATGCCTCGGTCGCCTCGCCTTGCATCCTGGCGTTGGGTTCACGGCCCCGGTGGCACCGGGTATGTCTAAGACAATCCGAAGCTCCGAGGAAGCGGTTTAGGGTTTAGGCCCGTTCACGCAGCCCTTCAATGAACCGCTGAAGCCCCTTTCCGTGCAGGGGTTGAGGCTTCTGGGGGTCGAGGGTTCAAGGTTCATTGGCTTGGGGTTTTTGGGGGTGAGGCTTCAGGGTTTTAGGCGCAGTCTGCATTCTTAACATATCTGTCATCGATGATGGTTACCCCGGTGTTCCAGCTAGACCAAGGAACCCTGAGCATGGCTTTCGCTTCAGGGCCCAAGCAATTCGAACGAGGAGGATGAGAAGATCTCCTGCCATTAAGCACTTGATTGCGCAGCTGTCTCGGTGGCGTAACCCAGGAATAAAACAATTGAATGCAAACCCCTGCCTGTCATGTTTCACTGATGCGGCTTTCCCCTGGTCCCAAGGATTCTCGCCCGGCTAAGTCGAAACAATGGAGCTGGTTGCATGCTTCCAATTAGACGACACGTTGCTTAGAAGCTTCTGACTTGCCGGCGACTATATAGCGACGCCCCGAAAAGTCATGCTGTTGGGCGTCAGCGGCCTGCAGGCAACTTCGGAACGATCTTGCTAGGCTCCTAATCTGGACTCCTACAATCTTGCGTCGTCGGCTGTCGTCGTCTTCTGCACCGTCGATCACGGCGCACTCGTCGTCTGTGTCGTCTGCGCCATCACGGCACATCTTTCGGGTCCTCGCACGCTGCTGCTCTTACTCAAAGTTCTCCCAATTGTTTGATGCGCGCCATCACGGCACATCGATATTCGATCTGCGCCATCACGGCACATCGACTCGCTCCTGCAGGGCTTATGGGGTTCCGGAGTCTACAACCAGTAGTTACGAGGTCCCAACTATTCATAATATCGCTAAGACACGACAGTTACTCGAACACTCAGGATGCAACACTACACTAGTAATGTGTGGTCTTTACGTCATGGCCTTTTATTTCTACATGGCATGCATGTGCATGTGTGCAGGTGTAGGACCACATACGGAAACTAAGAACAAGCAAGTGGCAAATGAGTTGATTTGTCTGCGCGATGTGATGTTGCTAAGTACAATGTATTGAAAAGGTGTCTGATCGAGAAACTGTTGCCGCACGATAATTCAAGTTTTGGTCTCTGACGACAAAGAAACAAATCCTTGGCTTGAAAACAAAATATTTCAATGAGGTCAAAGTTCCATGTCATGTTTAGAGTCTAGGAATCAAAAAAAGTCACCGAACTGTTTCCAGTGCTGTCTGCCACATGACAGTTTAAGTCTTGATTGAATACAAAATCCAAAACACATGTCGCTCAGGATCTTTCTAGGACCTCATCACACCAACAAGCATGCACTGGGACTCTCCCTCTGTCTCGCTGCCTCTCGCTCTCGTTGTTTCGCTTTGTTTTTGCCCCCAGAGCGAACATTGCCGCAAGGTTCAAGCAAGTCCAACGAAATTAAATTTCGTTGGACTTGGGTTGAACTCGATTTCCAGCCCCCTAAGGACCCGCTGATGCGCATGATGCTCGGCCCTTGCCGCCCGCAGAGACCCGCTGATGCACATGATGCTCGGCCCCTCTCCTCCACAGACACCCGCTTGAGCCGGGCCTGTATCCCGTTGTGGAGCACAGGGACTGCGAGAGCCGGGCGGCGCCGAAACACGGACGGATTTAAAAAAAATCCGTTAACAAGTGGCCAGGATAGCTCTGTCCACTCGGAGAATCACAGAAGACAATAGCACTTTAGCTATGGGCAATGCTTTCTAGAGCTTGTGCTCATTCTTGAGCCAAACGTTGCATGGGCGGTCATACTGAAAGGATGGATAGGCATTGCGGTGTGCGTAGCACTACCGCAAGCCTACTCCTAGAGACGAGGGACGCGTGGCGTGCCCCCTTCCCTTGCACTTTACACGGTCTTGCTCACAGCTCTTATAGTGACACCTTGGAACTTGACAAGGCATCGCAGTCCGTTCGCAGTCCATCATCCACTTAGTAAGCCCACCAACCACTTATAAGCAAAGCGATCCTATATATTAGACCGGTAAGTATTCACTGCATCTATTTTGCCCACATGTATGCATGCATGTGTATGCTTTATAATTCGAGGTCACCATAGTAAGAACGACGTGCATTCTGAGTTCCATCGCGCAACTCAACTACTAGTACAGTGAAGCCACATGTAAAGTAGCGTCGCTGCTGCATGTAAGGGCTCAGCGCCCACTTCTTGAAACAATACTTGGGGCTTGAAAACGTAGCTGTCGAAGTGGCGTCCCAGAATGAGCTTGTGAAGTCCTGATAAGTCAAAACCGATTCTGCAATTTTGGTTCCGCGAAGTTTGCTGGCCCTGCCAACATTTTTTGCGCGTCGCATCTCAGAACTCTTGAATTTAGTGATGCTGATCTCTTCACAGATGCAACCTACCTTGAGCCATGTCCCCCAGCGTCTGCTCGCACGTAGTTGTTTTTTGGCGTGGGCGGGTCTCAGCGACTGCGGCAGCAGCACTCGGTCCCTACAGGAAGCCTAGCAAACGAAGAAAACTACCCAAAAAATATGAAACAAGCTGCGACCTGCAGGCTTTGCCGGCAGGAGTCGTTCAGCTTCGGTTCCTGCCAAAATCCTGAAGGGTTTTGGACCACGGCCTGCATGGCTTTCCACGGATTTGGGACCGCGACCAAAATGCTTTCTCCCACGTACTGGCGCGTCCAAACATATTTTCGCCCAAGTACTGGTGGGATTCAGAAGCACGGCGCTTTGCCTCCCCACGTGTTTTTTTTTTTAGCTGGATTCAGAAGGCCACGCTCAAAGGTTTGCAAGGTGGCAACTTTGGGATTTATATAAGAAAACGCTATTGCGTCAAATGGACGCCAAGCGTCCAAGGCACGGGTTACCCCCCCCCACGGCTGTAGATGAGAACTTCATAATCGCTTGCCGATGCTCCCGCGGAGTCTCTTCACGCGGTGCGTCGACCT